TATCTCGACCTGCCACTGGTACGAGCAAGACTCCTTTGTCGTCTGCTTGCTCTACCCTACACATTTCGTTTGCGTACAGATCCACCCTTGGCTTCGGCTGGCCAACGAACTCTGGCTCGCTTATCCATTTCCATTCGCTAGTTTGTGTAGTTGTGTCGTATGCCATCCAAGTGTCTCCTACTTGGGGCAAGGGTACTAGGTGTACCTCTTCCTGGGACTCGCCCACCGTGTCGTAGATGCCGACATCGGTGGACTCAATGACCGCTTTTCCTGTCTGGGTGTCTCTGAACGTTACCCAGTAGTCATTGGTGTCTGCTACCTCGTAGGCCGCTAAGGTGACCGGCTTAGTGCCTTGAGTAGCGTGTGGGCTCCAGAAGTCTCGCTTCTGCCCATCCACGTGGACCCATCTATTGCCCCGTTCGAAGGTTCCAATAAATGTCCAAGTCTCTCCAACCTCGGGACTTTGTATCATTGGTTCGTACTCATCCCCTGAGGTGCTATCTGATGACTCTGATGATTCCAACTCGACGGTCGTAAGCAGCTCGCCTTCCTGTGTCTGGAGGGGCGAGGAATACTTGTTATCGGATCTCGTAGCGTAGTACTCGTTGAGTATCGGATCATTCTCGAGTTGGGTGTGGATTCCCATCTCCTCGAGTTCATCGCTAGTTAACATTCTTTTCTCAAGCACAGCTATTTCCCTTCTAGCTGTAGCGTTGATTTGCTTCGTTCCTTTCCAGGGTTTCTTCGCACCCTTCGCGCGGCACTCGTTTGCTCGATGGCCGGTTTTGCCGCAAGAGTAACATAAGTTTTGTTCGCGCCTTCGGTTGCGTTCCTCCTGGGAAAGGCCTCCTTCCCGCGGGAAAGGTTTTCCTTCGGCGGCGTTTACTTCACGGCTTTTCCCGTGATAGGAACGATCCCACCGCTTGTGTCCCTTGGACTGATTTTCCTGCTTCGGGGATGACTTCCTGAATTCCCAGAGACGGTTGTCTAGCTGGATAACGGTCTCAATCATAGTTGTTATGTTCGGAAAAGTCATATTTTGTCTTGCCATCTCCTCGCGGAGATGCGTCTTGAGTCCCCTTTGGAATAATTCCATGAGTGCAGGGGCGTCCCACCCTGATTTGTTCCCATAACGCTGGAACTCGTTGGCGTAGTCGATAGCTGATCCGGTTTGTCGCAAACCCAAGAGGTTGCGTACCGCAGTACGGACAGCATCGAAGTCTCCAAAGACTCGGCGAATAGCCTGTTTGAATCCTTTCCAGGACTTGAACATCTTCTTGGTCATCTCCATTGATCCGTCCTCGTCTTCGTTGTTGAAGAAGTCTTCGAGGTAGGGCTGGGCCCATTCGAGTGCTGGTCCCCTAAGATAAGAGACAGCAAAGATAGATTGGGAGTTGTAATTTCCTTCAAACTTGTCCGAGTTGAAGTTGAAATAGATGTCCATCTGGAGTAGGAACGAGTCAAGTCCTTGTCGTTTCCCGTGATAAGTGTCGGGCATCTTGACCCGAATAGTCTCGAGTGCTTCGACCTTATAAGGTTCTGGTGCATCCGGCATACTGACATTGTCGTCGTCAGGCTTGTTGGCTGCCTGGGATGTGTTGAGGTTTGTCGTAGCAGTTCCTCCTGAGGTCCCTGGGAGGTTGACTCGGCTAGCCGAAGGGCTGGCCGGTCCTGCTGCTGGCGGGGTGGTGGGAGCCATGGTGATAGTTTCGACTTAAAGCAGGTGCTCAAAGTGTAACGAATACTCAAACTGGCTAACTAAACTTGGCTGGGTGTTCGCTGGTTGGTATGCTATGATAAGAAGAAGACTATCGGGTTGTTCACTTGGAAGTGAACTCGTTACTTGTATCAAAGATGTCAAACTAATATGATAAGATTGATAACTAAGTTGAGCACGAAGCTCCTATCTAATGGCAGACATGCCAGTCTTATATAGAACCTTCGTTCTCATGATCGTCGATGGTCGCTGCGACCAAGACGACCTGGTCGTTGCAGTCGCTCGCGACCCAGCGATCAAAACTGGTCACGTGATACAGATACTAAGAAATCCCTGGATCGCTTAGCTAGCCTAAGCATCCCTATTTGCTATAAGAGTGTGTGATGGTGCTTTAACCTGTCAGGACGCCGCCTGTTTCTTCACTTATCACGTGCTACGCACGTGATTCGTGACACAAGCCCCTGGAACCTTGAGCCGAGGTCCCCGCTTGGAAGCGGCATTGTGACCTCACACCAAAGAATGTCAAACACCAGCAAAAAACAACACGAATTCCACGACATCAATTCACGACGATGCTTCTTTGAGCCTCAAAGATTACCCAATCCAATGCTACATACCTCACGCTCACGGGCAATTGCCCGAGTCTTCTCCTCCTCCCAAGCCTATCGACAATCCCAATATCTCTCCAGCCCCTCCAACTCACCCACACCAATATCTTCCGTCCTCATCGCAAATCGTGGAGAAATCGCGCTACGAGTGGGGAGAACAGCCTCAGCGCTGGGTGTACGCTGCACGACCATATATACTGACCCGGATGCACATTCACAACATGCCTTGTCCAGCCCTTTTGCCGTCAATCTCGGGATACCAACCGCATATCTCGATGGTGAACGGATTATAAAGGTTGCAAAAGAGCAGGGGTGCCAGGCTTTACATCCGGGATATGGATTCTTGAGCGAGAACTCAGCGTTTGCAAAGAGGTGTGTGGAGGAGGGACTGGTGTTTATTGGACCACCATGGAAGGCTATTGAGGCTATGGGGAATAAATCTAGGAGTAAGGAGATTATGATTGAAGCGAGTGTTCCGTGTATACCAGGATATCATGGGGGAAACCAGGAACCGGAGTACCTGTTGGAGGAGGCAAGAAAGATTGGATTTCCGGTCATGGTGAAGGCAGTTAAGGGGGGAGGAGGGAAGGGAATGAGGATTGCGATGAATGAAGGGGAGTTTTTGACTCAATTGGAGAGTGCTAAGAGCGAGGGCAGAAATTCTTTTGGTGATGATGAAATGTTAGTCGAAAAGTACATTGCCACGCCCAGACACATTGAGGTTCAAGTGTTTGCCGACAAATTTGGGAATGCAGTTGCATTGGGAGAAAGGGATTGTAGTCTTCAGAGGAGACATCAAAAGATACTGGAAGAAGCTCCAGCTCCAAATTTGGCTGAAGATATCAGACAGGATTTATGGGAGAAAGCTCGAGCTGCTGCACTTGCCGTGAACTATGAAGGTGCTGGGACTGTTGAATGTAAGACGCCCAGTTTATTTGTTAACCGTCTCTAACTCAACACTCAGTCATTTTCAACAACGACACAAATGAGTTCTTTTTCATGGAAATGAATACCAGGCTCCAAGTCGAGCACCCTGTGACCGAAGAAATCACCGGCGAGGATTTGGTATCGTGGCAATTTAAGATTGCCGCTGGGGAGCCGCTCCCACTAGATCAAGCGGCTATCACCAAAAGAATTGCAGAACGAGGATGGGCAATTGAAGCCCGTATATATGCGGAGAATCCCGACCAAAACTTCATGCCAGATTCTGGAAAACTGATTCATCTCCGAACTCCTCAAATATCGGAAGGTGTGCGTATTGACGCCGGTTTCATCCAAGGTGATACAGTGTCATCAGCGTACGATGGCATGATAGCCAAATTAATTATTTCCGGACCAACTCGTGAAGTCGCCCTTCAAAAAATGTATAATGCGCTACAAGAATACGAAGTCGTTGGCCTAAGCACCAACATCGAATTCATTAAGAGACTTTGCAAGAGTCCTGCCTTCATGAGAGGAGAAGTGGAGACAGGCTACATTCAAAAACACAATAGCGAATTATTTACACCCGAAATTATCGAACCCGAGACCTATGTTCAAGCAGCTCTTGGACTTTTATTACAAGAACAATCTCAAAAATCAAATCAGGCCCCAGGCCCTCACGGTCAAACAATCGGCTTTGGGACCAACACATCACGTTCTTTCTCCCTTCTCCCACCACCCAATCCAAACGATAAAGATTCCACCACCTCTCCTCACCAAATTGAGATCTCCCAAAAAGGACCAAAACTCTACGATGTCTCCATCAGCCATCCTTCCTTCTCAAAAACATACGAGAACCTGATCAGTGAAGCCACATCTTCAACCTCCATCACTACTTTCTTCCCACACACTAGGATATCTAGTACTATCGTTCCCTCAGCTGATAGCAACGATCTTACGATATTTCAACACGGCAAGAAAACTCAATTCGCGCTAAAGGATCCGAGTTGGTTTGAGAAAGCACTGGGATTGAATGATGTGAGGAATAGTGTTGTGGCTCCTATGCCTTGCAAGGTTTTGAGGAATGAGGTGAGGGAGGGAGATGTGGTGGAGAATAACCAGGCTTTGGTTGTGTAAGTGCGATTGTATCTATATATGGAGAGAAGGGTTGCTAATGAGTGATGTAGGATTGAGAGTATGAAGATGGAAACTGTTATTAGGTCGCCGCAGAAAGGGGTTATTTCCAAGTTGGTGCATAAGGAAGGGGTATGTTCATCCCTTCTCGGAATCCTCAATATTCCTCATACATGTTCTTGAAACTAACAGTTTGTAGGACATCTGCAAAGCAGGAACGGTCTTGGTTTTATTTGAAGAGGCAGGTCAGCAGGAAGCATAACTTTGTCTAAAATATGGGAACCGACTCTCGGTTGCAGCATGATGAGTGAACAACTCACGCAGAAACTCGAATCTATGGCGTTTGGAGGCTTTTATGAGTTATGATGAATGGGAGTTTGGTACATGCGCATTGGCTTTTCTTTCTGCTTTATATGGCCTTCCAAGAGCAGAGCGATAAGTAAATCTTAGTTGAAATAGTACTTCGCCTCTATCGGACCTGTTTGTGCCAATATTGATCTTGTGACTCCATTCCAACTAAAGAGACGAAGAAGTGACCCTCGAGAATAGACTCATTAATTCCCTCAGACATATCATCACATTCCCAGGCTTTCCCGCCAAGAGGCGCCGAACTGTGAGATCCCTCTTGCTGTGAGGGACTATCATTGAAAGTATTAAAGATATACGGGGGTCATTGTAAATTGCTGGATCATATGCCTGTGATCCTTTTTCGGGTCGTCACTTTTGAGTTAATGAGAGGAATGAGTCTTGCTTGTATGCGCTTAGATCTCCTCGTATTGGTAACCTAGAGGTCAGCTACAACATATATTTATAACATGAACGTGAGAAAATTTTGTACTACCTTTGGCAATTAAAACCTTGTCAATGGTGCTTTCTATTTAGGATTCAAGGTGTTATCTGGTCTTGCGATATATAATAAAGCGGCACCATAACTTCAATCCTCGAAAGTTTGCAGCAGAACAATTCAGTCATCAACGGGCTACAAAAATGAGGATGTATTAGCAAGTTGCCAATTCAATATATCTTGAACCCTGTAAAATTTGATCTCATCTGCATTGAGCTAAAAGTGTCGCGAGTTCTTACGACACAGAGTGACGGTGCCGCTTCACTCGTCTATGGCGAGAGAGCTGAGACTCGCTTAAGGATTGGCTAAACAACCACCACAACCACGACCGCAACCACCAAACCGCGTCAAAACCACGCAATCTTTCAAACAACCCCAAAAAAGAAAAAAAAGCTACCAAAACGCTATTGTCTTCAACCACCAACCAAAAAAACGGCAAAAGAACCTGCGCCCTGCGGGCTGGCAAGGTTGAAAACCAGACGTACTGAGTTTTCATTTTTTAGCTTAGCAAATCTACAAGTTTTTTTTTTTGGAGGGAGTGGTAACAGGTAGTGGTGTTGGTGCTTTGGGAGTTGTTGCTTTGGGAATTGACGCTTGTGGGAGCACACACTAACTGACTGGGCCAGGCGGACAGGTTTCATCCCAGTTTTGGTGACGGAAAACGTGTTGTTAAGGGATATTAATGTTTGCCGCTTAAAGTGCAGGGATTTTGTTGTGTGCGTCCAATCAAATCGCGGTGCGTGGGGAAGGGGATGCGATACTGTGGGTCAGTGCTTTGGGGTGGTTGTTGTGGTGGCTGTATATTGGTGGTCGAGGTGGCTTGGAGACCTGGTAGTTGATACGCGTAAGGCTATGATCCTAGGGCTAGAGGTTCTGATGACACGCTTCTTTGTCTTGGAATAGTTGATTTGGCAGAGAGGTAGCAATGCGAAGTATTACAAGGCTTTCAAGTGAAGGATTTTCAATTCATTGATATAAATTCTCCTTGTTTTGTTGTTCTCACAATGTAACGTCGCGAATTACCGAGACCATATGACTCATTTCTTCTCTTCTGCATTTGACTGGGAGTGTATCATGGCATAATACCTTCAGCACTCCAGGTTACAATTCAAAGCTCCGTGCCACCAAGATCGTTCTGCGCTTGATTCGCAAAGGCCTCGAAAGACCGGAATGAGTACCATTTCCTATTCAAATCGAATCTTGTCCTCGAATCTCTTCCCAACTTCTCGTATCAGAACCTGATAACAAAACTATCACTTTCTCAAAGTAATCAAAATTTCCTATTATCTCTGTTGTTAAAATGATTCTCTTGATCTACCGATTACATACCACGATTACTGGTCCAATAGTCGCAGTCTTGTATTCATGGTCTTTGGCAGTTGGGGAATATTCAGTTCGCGCTTAACCCAAATAATTATATTGGCTGAGCCTTCTGTGCGTGTGTAGTTTGATCTTCGCCCTTTTGATGCTGATTTGCTACATTGAGCTTTCCTGCCTCCTTCTTTCAGATAACCTCAAGTAAAGGATCAGACACCGACTTGCGAATTTTCGAGCCTCCAAGAACTATCACTGTCGATTTCTCTGTTGCCTCCGAATCTAACTCCTCTCTACACCCTTATGATACTGGGATCTATGTCATAAGTACCATATTGGCGACTACAGATAATCAATATATCACCTAACGCTACTCACCTACTATCCTTAGCACATTCGTACTCGCGGCCATTTCAGACGGCCCTAGCGGCTAATGCCTATAACCATTCGGATGTGCATTTCAAATCTTGTAAGGAAACGCTTTTTGTAGACAAGAATAGAATTCATGGGGTCCGCGCCGTCTACAGGTGTCGTATAATTATGCTTACGCTCTTCAAATCTGGAAGAATTTAATAGTCATGATATTTACCGACCAAGGCAAAAGGAGATCCTGCTCGATTGATTGATGTCTCAAGGGCTACTAGGTTGAACACTTAACTTCGTCATAATCACCCAGATGAGTTCAGAGGGGAAATTCGACTACCGGTAGCTTGTATTGACAGATGCTCTTTCCTAGTTACCGTAACGCCGAGATGATCCGTTGGAGGTAATAGCATTACAGACTACAGTTTCCAAGCTACACTCTTAATTCCATCGCTGGTACTTCTTCCATGAATGCTGTTACAACAATTTCGACGTTCTAGTCCTTCAAGTGATATATCAATAGCCTCCTCTATGCATAATACAACTCTCTTTTCCCCACCAATACAATCAGTACAATGTCAACCATACGATCTGTCCACTTAAATTTCTACCACCACATCCCACTAATGGTACTACCTCACCTCTCTCATCTAACTCTATGCCCATCATGTACTCAACGAAATATAACCCCCTCGACCCTCCCTTACCCCCCCAAAAAGTATATAAACCTCCTCGCTGACACCGATACAAAGGAACACCGACAATAAAGGATGTCACTTGGCAAAATCTATTGGAATAGGGTCCACGCAACAACACTATCCATCACCCAGCCTCAACCCTCTTTCTTTGCCAGAAGTCGCACAATTAATCCTAGAGATCTGTAGCACGCAGGTATCAAAAGATATCATAACGAGGACCTTTAATTTTGATCGACTCATACTACCGTCGAAAACCCACGCACTGTCGATTTCAACCCTTCTCCCATCCATCCTTCCAGAAGCAGAAAGAGGAAAGAAAAATAAGAGTCGTGAATATTTGAATATCCAGTGGAGTAATTCTGTAGGCATTAGCCCATCCACTTGCCAGACCTGAGGAACCTGGTGTTCTCCTAAACTGATGATGCAGGTAGTGGCTTGTGCATGTGATTCCGCTGTTAGCCATCAGTAAGCCTTTTTATCGTTGACTCAATGAGTGGAAAGATGTTGGATTGTAGTAGGATGAGCTAGAGTTTGTCGTTATCGGTTTTAACCCCGGTAACATTTTGTTCTGGTAAAGGGAATGGGAAAGAGGGATGGTGTTGTAAGAATTATCGTTCATTGAATGATTGGTAATCCCAACCATTCTTACGGGAGGACAAGAGTATGTAGGCTTTGTACACTTATAAGTAACTAGATATAGCACCTTTTAAAAAGTCCAGATAACCAGAATATCTCCCCCTCAATTCCCCCAACTCTTCTACCGCCCAAGGAATCCCCCAACCCCTTCAAAAGGAACCTATCTAAATGACCTAGCAAGATACAACCCCCAACCCAACGCGCACTCCCCATCCCAGTAAAGAACTCCCGCCTCCTCGCCCGTATCACAAACCATCAACAAACCCACCAGGCTTCCAACCTAACCTTTCCTCCACCATCCTATATAGCCCCCAACCCAAGCCCCTCCATAACCCCCATGGCAGCTCAAACTCAACAACCCTACAACTCCATGCGGAAACCCACGAGTAACCTCGTACAAACTTCCCTTTCACCCCCCAACTTCCCAATCTCCCAAGTTCTCAGTCCGTTCACCCCAACCGCCCACCAACCATTTCCCCCGTAATCTTACCTCACCTCACCACAACTCCCCAAACAAACCCAACCACTCACCTTCGAAACTTCACACACCATTGAATCACCAACAACCATCCACTCACAACCCACCTCTCAACCATAGTCCCATAAATCTACAAACCCCCAGAACACAATACACCAACCACCCCTGCTCCTTACTCTCTCTACCACTTCGTCCAACTTCCCACCACCCACCATCAGAAAAAAGTTTCCTTCAACTACCAACACAACCCGCTCTATAGCTACCCTCAGGGGAATATTTAATATCTCGCTTTCCGTTACTTTCCAACAACCAGTCCATTCTAAACTCACTTCTTCCCAAAAACCCTCTCTTCTCAAGTCTCTCGTCTCAAGTTTTAACACACCACCAACACCACCCTTATACCAATCCTAAATCACCGGCCTTCCCAGAGTCTCCCCGTCCCCACCCCTATTACACCAACCCAACAATCCCAACAATCCCACCGAGCCAAGTATTTCAACTTATTAGCAGGTTACTGTACTATACAGTACACTAGCACCACCTGCCACCTCTCACTCCCACCTCCCACTCGCAAAAGGTCATGGATGATGGATACATATAAGAAGGTCGCGCGAAGTGATACAAAAATACAGACGCACTTTCAAGCATACTAATGAATTTCTTCTCACACTGGTCACAACAACATCACGGTAGACAGTCCGAGTCGAGGAAAGAGTTAGAACCATCACCTTATACATCCACATCAACCCGCACACAACACCTCACAAAATCGTATACGAATATAAAATTAACAAAATGCCTCTCCAGCTGGGTATCGGCAGATGTGTACTGTATATACATGCTTTTAAAGTTTACCTCCATCTCACCCCATCTACTACTCCCTTCACAATGAATCATCCCATACACACATAAATCTACTTCCCCCCCGGCGACGAACTCCCACTCTTCAGAATCCCTCCTTGTCCCTCCCCCTTCACAACCCCACTAATAGCCTTCGAAGCCCCAATAGTAATCCCCTTAAGCCCCTTCCCCTCAACACTGATCTGGCTCCCAATACTCCCACTCCGTGCCTGTCTCAATTTATTCATCAACGTCGCCGACGACGGGCTTCCATTCTCTACCGCACCCCCTCCATTTTGTCTTCTTGGTGTGACGGGTGAGTTGGCGGAACTTTCACTCGAGTCATCGTATTCTTTCTGAGGGCGCACGCGTTTCCTGGCTCCATCGCTGAGAACAGGGATTGATGAACGCCCTGGACTTTTAGTGGGTGATGTACTTGCTACTTCGGCATAACTGGGTCCTCCAGAGCTTCCTTCTTCTTCGCTTGTGTAGGTTAGGGCTGGGCGGTTGGCGCCAGCATGTAAGCTTGCATGTCTTGCAGTGCGATAGTGATCGTATTCTTCCTGCGTGTGTTGTGCATCTACGAAGCTCTCCAACGCATCAAAGACATGTGGGAAAACGAGAGTGTCAACTTCTCGTGCCCAAAGGAAGTCGAGATGTTCGTAATGCGGGATTTCCGTTGCGATAGTATGGTCAGGGAGTTCCTTCATCATGATGTTGATGTCAACCAAAGAATCGCTTCCTCCATAGACAAGAACGACAGGAGTTTTGATATTTCGGGTAGGGAACTTAGCCACTTTTGTATATTTATTTGCCCCGCCAATTGAGACGACTGATTGAACATCGTCATCATACATCTGGAATGATTTAGTTCGGATGATCTGGAACCAGTGGACAACACTCTTTGTGCTGGTGAAAGAGTACAAATGGGGATATGCTGCCAGCTTTTGACTAGCAGATATGTTTTTTGCATGCCAACCGAAGAGGAACGACAGGCCCGTATCTATTACTTTTGAGAAAATCGGCGGATAGAGAATTGATTGCCAGAAAGTGGCTGAGCTGAGAATTGATCGGCGACCAAAGAGAAGAAACAGGACTTGTGGTGAAGCCTTGACCAAAGCATCTACGATGCCATTAGAAAGACCTGCTGGTGACATGGCAGGGGCCAAAGCGATGAAGACGTTGACTTGGTCATTGAGCTTGGGATGGACGGCTAGTGTTGCAAATGCTTGAGCAGTTCCCTGGGAGAATCCAATGTAGGATAGTGATGGTGCTTTAGTAGTTTCCAATATGTATTGGATACTATCTGGGATATCATGAAATGCAAATTCGTCCATTGAGAAATCCCAAAATGGAAGATCATTTGGCGAGTGATGAATAGACTTTTTGGAGTATTTGTTTCCACGATTGTTGCCAAGCTAAGACGGTTAGAATATTCTTCTATTGGACGGTCACTAACACTTACCCAGACATCATATCCCTTCTCTACTAGCCTAAAAGGCAAACATCTCTGCTCATCGGTAAGACACACCCAGACCTCACTGTTCATGAGGAGGCCATGATGGAGATACACGACATTTTTCTTGGTGCTGTTTGGGCCCTGATTGACTTTCTCCTTTTCTTCGCCTTTACGCCATGCTAGCCGATGAACGCCAAGGAGGTATCCGTCTTTTGTCTGAACGACATGTTCTTCGGCATAATATCCATAAAAAGCGCAAATGTCGACAAAATCAGATGCTTTTCGGATTGAACTTGTGACATCTACAAAATGCATGAGTTTGGTTCAAGTCAAGATATTGGGATAGCTCACCTGGTTTTTTGTTCGCAGATTTTTTTGCTGCAGGAGATGTAAATCTGTTAAACAGTCTTCGAGATGCTCGGTAAAACAGATTTATTATGGACGTTGCTGTGAGGCATTAGCTATGGTACAATGGAAGGGCTATGCTGCTGCTCCGGGTGGACTTACGCATGGCAAGTGTCACTATCCTAACCAATGCCTCCAGACCAACTAAGAAAAATGAGCAGACTAGTGCTACATACTCAGCCCTGAGAGTATCAGCTTTGTTCGAGCTGAGGAAAATGTGGAAAAAGACTCATCAGACTTACGGATTAAGGCGACCAAGAAAAGGAATAGGCGCCATGATCAAGGCGTCGGTGTTGGTGTCGGTGCAACTATCTTACAGGCGCTCGGCCGATTCGGAACAAAGACCTCTGAGTCGTGTCTCATTCGGCAATAGCAAAAGTTGTAAACATTAAGTTGTCGTTTTTGATTGATGCAGATATCAGAAGATGGTTGGTGGCAACAGGTGAAGGTGCAATTATGTACACGGCGGTGAGCGTTGCTTTACTTTTCAAAGTAGGCGACCGGAAATTGGTCCTCGGTGATTAGCTGAAATGAAAACGTCTAGCTGGTGGTCAGTGTCTTGTATGTTTAATCGAAGGGAATTTATATAACTGATTTGCTGGTGGTTGTTCTTACTCTAGTGAATGAATGAATGAATGGATGGATGGATGATGTCACATGTAAGTAACCGGCGGGAAGCTTGAATCCAATTGGGTGAGAGGATTGACACACGCCAGTGTAGATGACAGGTGCAAGTGCACCGGCCGTGCGATAAGCTTATTTGCTGGCACAATTGAAAGCTCTCGAGTTTTGCTGTTGTTCAGCTACCAAAAGCGATTCGTACTCGTACTGGAGCAAAGATGGCGTTGTTTTGTCTCTGCTCAACAAGCAAAAACAATTGCATGTGTAGTGGATGCAGGTGCAGAATGATAGGGGGAAGGATCAAGGGAGGAACAGCCAACCAAATTTGGGAGCTCGGCACCGGAAGAACTCCTCGGGATAACTCTTCCTGGGCGGGACCTTTCCGTCTAGCTAGTATCAATTTATCAATTGCTTCACTCAGAACTTCACATCAAATTCTAATCGCAACGACTTTCACTCTACCAGCCAAGGGCGGCTTTAATCTACGCATCGAGAATACGAGGTTTCCAGGATTCCGGGTACCATTCTTTGCCAACACATTTTTTCGAAATCGAGACCCGCCAGACGCCTAGAAAAACAACGCAGAAGAGCATCGAGACGCCCAATACCTTTGCTTATTTTACCGAACCACAATCAAGCTTTCAATTGGGCACTTCGAATTCTAGAGGAGCCGAAATCTGAAAACAGCAAAATGCCGAGCTCCTGCAAAGATATCCGTTCGTCTTCTCGCCACACTCCCGCCACCAAACACCCTCCCAACCCCCCAATCCGTCAACACCCACTAACTCAGACCGCACCACAGGCGAAGCCCTAGCACAATGTCTCCAAAACTCAGACTGCATAATGATTCAACGCAACACACCTTCCGACTGTCTTCGATCCCCCCTCCTCGAAACAATGCCTACGCAATGTCAACAACTGAAAAAAGGCCTGGGCGAATGCAAACGCGGAATGGTGGATATGCGCAAGAGATTTAGAGGCAACCAGCCGATCGCTGTGAGTAAAGAGATAGAGGGGCAGAAACCGGGTGGGCAGTTGTATGCGGGGAAGGCCGCGTTCTCGAGTACGGCGAAAGAGACCTCGGGTAATGAACCGGTAGAGAGGGATTGGAGGGAGGTGGAGAATGAGAGGTTTAGGAAGGAACAGGGACTTTGATGGGTTATGAAAGAGATGAGGAATTGATGGAATATATGATTTACATGAGGGTTGGGATTGCATTGCTGGCGTTTTTGGGTTAGGTGAGAGGAGTTGTTGGAATGTTGTTGGAATGCTGTTGGAATATGCAGACCAATGTTGTATATATGTGTTGCAATTCTTGCTTCACGATACGAAGCAAATGATCTCCAACCTCATGTTCCATCTAATGGCATTCTTATGATACTCTGCTTTACAAGGTGCATTGCATAGTTCCTTCGGGGATCTTGGGACAAGATTGCCGGATTAGTACACATCTGCATCTAGCACGCCTTATAGCTTGTTTGGAGCCTCAATCTTGGTATCAACGTCCTTCCATGTTCCAATTAATTATATACCTTTTGAAGAATGGATCTTCCTTGTAGAGAAATATTCCTTCGAGGTTTACGGTCTGCGGTCTCAATGTTGGATTCAGTAGAATCTGGTACTTAAGATCCTGTCACTCTGTCACGTTTCATATGATCATCTATTGGATGTTACAGTGGGCAAGTACTAACAAGCTTCTGTTCCTGCATTAAAACTACGAATAAACATCATCGGGTTCTGAGAGCCCAGAAGACTGGGGAAGCAACAAGAGATAGATGGCATAAAGCCAATTGGGAAGATTTTATAACTAATTATATAGAAAACTCCTCGTAAAAGTTATAAGAGTCTAGGACGCCTGCTCGGAGTCTGTATCTCATTCATCACATCTATTTCCCCTAACAACCCATCCAAACCTCTCACTAACACCCAACCAGTCCCTCAAACAACATGCCCCAAATAATTCCTCTTCCCAATCTGCACACCCTCCTTCCGGAGCAGAGCATACGTCATAACATGATGAAAGTAAAAATTCGGAATCACAAACTGCTGCACATACGTCGTCCCCGTAAACTTATACGGCCCAATCTCAATCTTGAGATCCTCCTTCCCATCCATGCTCTTGGGGTCCACAGTCTCCAAGATCCCAATCGTCTTTTGGACCCGTTCTTGGAGCTCTGCGAGGGTCTTCTCCTCGTCGGCCCAGGCTTGCGGTGCGACGCCCCCCATGCGCACGGCGAGTCCTTTTACGCAGTCGGAGAGACGCTGGATTTGGTAGGGGAAGGCTTCCATGTCGGCGATGAGGCGGGAGTCGAGGAGGGTTTGTTCGGAGGAGGTGGTGGAGGCGTGTTCGATGCCTCGCTTGAGGATGTTTTGAAGGATGTTGAGGTCCCTGATGAAGACGGGGACGGTTATGTCGTAGAGTGAGAAAGGCATGATGAAAAGTTTTTCTACTGGACTTTTCTTTTGTGGATTTCAAATAATGAGGTTTGATATCTTTGCTTTGAGGGTTGCAGGTGGGGTTGAGGATAGGATTTTGGAAGTTCGAAAAGAATATTATAACAAGTTGCTGAGTAGAATGTTGTCGTTTTTTGTTTACATAAAAGTTGAACGAAGTCACATGATCTAGGTGTTCCAAGTTTTCCAGGTCTCACGTGGTAGATATTTTCTTCTACTTTCATACTCGGGTAGGTTTCGTGTGAGGGCGCAGGTCCGGACGGGGGTTCGAACCTTACTAAAAACAGTACTTTTACCTACTTTATAATAATCTATAGTTTTTTCCCTTATAAATAAATTTATCTATAACTAAAGTATTAGATTGATTCGAACCTTCTAAGTATCTATACTAAACATCTAATAATAATGAGTAAGAATAGTCTTATAGTATTAGGCTATATCTAGTAATTAGTTTCTCTAGACAAATTTCGCCTATATAATATACCCGCTACCTTTACTACTTAATAACTTTATATATTTAGGTCTCTATAAGAAACAAAGTAGATATATCTACGCGCAATACTCGAATTACTAATGCCTATAAGTCTTAGCAATTTTTAATAGTAGTTAAGTAGCATTAATCTAATATGTTTTCTATAAGTTTTAGTGTAAAAGTAGCCTGTGCGAGCACCTGCGCCCTCACACGGAACCTACTCGAGTATAGGATTCATATGCCTTTAGTGTATAACATACAGATATTATTGTTTCGGAGATTCTTTTGGGAAGAATATTCATATGACCTATTGGGGCTAGTGAAAGAATAAGGCATGTACTCATACTAAGGATCTGCAGGCGACTCGCAGTACTTGGATGCCCACTTCCTCGCTACTTTAGCGCCCAAAGCCCACACTAAATAACTCGATTACTCGAAACTTAAAACCAACAAGTTCCATACTCCGCAATCCTCTTACTTTAAGCGTACTTCGGAAATACTTATTGAGCGCCAAACGTTCCACATCTAAGCGCGCTTAGAGATCTTAGCCGCCTGAGCGGGTCACACTTTTCCCTTGTAGGTTGTAATAACGGGTTAATCGTTTCGATGGTTCAAAAGGATTAGCATAATCAAGTGCTTTGAACTAAGTTCCAAGATAGTGATATTTACTACCGTTTCTTCTACCCAATAAGAGCCCAGGGCAATATTTACAGGGCAGCTTTTTCAATTGGAGTTTCTTTACGAGTAAGAGACCTCTGCGCCACAGTTAAGACTCACAACAACGTCAAAACACACCCTAGTTTAATCTTACACCGTCTAGGTTTCTCCTATTTTCTTGTCACTAACAACATCTATTATACCTGGTTCGAGTGGACCAGCAGACATCGTTCTGTAAGTGGGCGGAGTACATGATTTACATGTCATACTGTAGAGCAGGCAACAATAGCCCCACGTTCTCTATCAAAAGGCCATCAAAAAATGACCGTAGTAAACTACGCATCAATCCTCGTTACATTTCCATCTGATATGTACATATTACGTATGCTGCCTTTCAACGAAACTTCCTAGACTCATCTAAATTCAAACTATCTTTACTTCTTTCTGAGCCAAGTCCCAATTGCATGACGACATTTCATCAGTACCACTCTTTGAAACATCCAAAAGATTATATCCTATTCTGCGGTAAACCTGGGTCTCGCCTTGTACCTTCGACTGGACCGATTCGAGAAATAGGACATGATGGTGCCTCGCCGACAACAATATAACGAAAGCAAAATGCTGTCCAGGGTAACCCTCGTGCTTGACTCTGAACTCATCAAGTTGCCTGAAATCGTCTTCTTGACTGAAAAGACGGTGCACAGATGGCCTCTTTTCGTCTTCCTCTGATTCATCGATATAGTAGAACGGCGCTTCGAGGGTGATGGAGGCGCTTGCTACCTCGCCAAACAAATCCAAACTTGAGTTTTCAATTTCAACATGGAGAACCTTCGCAGCGTACTGGATGCCCATTTTGCTTCCAGTTTCATCGAAACAAAAACTTGGAAGCTTGACCTCTAGAGGCCATGGATCCAAGCTGGCCCAGCTCCAGGAAGGTCCAGAGTAAGGCTTCTGTAGATTTCTCTTGGGAACGACTTTCGGCGCGTCCCACTTATTGTAAAAAGGGTTCCAGCATAATCCCTTTATGATATCGCTCCGCCATAACCCGGCACAATACATATCGCCGCCATCTAGCTTGTGAAATTCCTTCGCTAAACTCGAGATCGCGGGTAATCGATCCGTTGAGTACGTCAAATGTCGCTTCAGGTACTCTTCAATCGTCTCGTACCAAGTGACGAGGACTTTGCGTCTGTATTCGGGGTCCGGGTCATCGCTCATATTGTGGCATTTGGCTAAATTGTTGAACGTACTCCACAGGTTGGGCGAATAATTGTTTCTGAACAATCGAGAGAACCCTCCTTCACAGAACTTGACGGCTGAACATTCCCAAACCATTTGATCTTCTCGGAAGATAATTCTCCGACCAGAGAATAACTCTTCCTGTAGCACCCAACCTCTGGTCGTAAGCGGTCCTGTATCTTGACCAATTCTTCGGGATTCTTCCTCGTCAAAGAATCGAAGGCTTGCCGTGTTGGGTACGAATTTGGCCGAGGGAGAGAAGCCCAACGAGATGCATTGTCTGGTCAGTCTATGATCTTCAGCAGTAAGATTGCCATCCTGTTCTGGAATTTTCCAAGGTAGGATGCAATTATTTGTCTGCAGCTTTCGTTGATGAAGAAAACCTTCTGTTGTTTTCGCAGGGGAAGAAGCGGATATGGTGATAACTGCTCCCCTGTACACATCACTCATTTGAGTGGACTCGTAGCCCCAATCCTCCTTTGAATCTTGAATGAAGCATAAAGTATCAACCCAAAGGTATTTGATTTCCAAAGCGCGAGTCACCAAAATAGCGTCTTGTATCGTTTTGGGGAACTCCTCGTACGGCATTCCCATCTGAAAAGAATCCAAGCGATCTTTGGTAAGTGTGAAATTTGAATGACCTCCCCAACAATAACTGAGAGCCGCCCATTCGCAATCTCCTGGGTGGGCGAGACAGAGCTTTGGGTCTTCTGATGCTGAGCCAACCTGAATAAGTCTCGTTGGTGCTGGTGTTCGAATTCTCGCTTGGGAACATCCTTTGTGGCTTTTCTGACATTTTTCAATCCAAGTGTGGGCCTGGGCAAGAGATGTCTGAACTTGAGGCTCAGAACCATATCTACGACCCAAGATATCTTTGAGACGATCATTTTCCGCATAATTTCCTTGGCCGTTTTTCATTACATCTATGAAGAGGCAGTTAGCACATGTCAAAAGACAATCAACATGAGGAAACATCTAACTCACAACTCTCGGCCAAAACCTCAAAACTACACTCTACTCTCCTCCTCCCCATCTCCCCAAACTCCTCGCACCAAGGCTGAGAAAACACGGAGACATACGGTCTAAATCTACTCACCCCATCACCTCCCTTCGACCGTCCAACAGCAGCAATAATCACCATATCTTGCTCCCTATCATGGGTTTGTCCAAAAGACGTCATATCTTTCCTACGACCCCAATGTTTCAAAATCAATGTACATAACTCGCAACCATCAGCTGCTGTTCGACGCAGATACTTGAATTTCTTGTGGTGGATAAAGTCGGTGGGTTGGACGCCTCGGTTGTGTTCAAGGGGGTTGCGCGGGTTTAGGAGGAGGGAAGAGAGGTTTAGGGAGCGACATTTTTTGCAGAGGGGTATAGGAGTGGTATATTTTTCCCAAAAATACATGATTAAAGGAAATTGAAGTCCAAAAAATGAAATTAAGTGATGATGATTGACAAAAAATGTTTACAGCGTCGAATACAACAGTTTATTTATGTTATATGGGGTTGGGACCCGCCCATGAGGCTAAGGACTTTAAGCGCGCCGTGATGTGGAAACATCCTGCAATGCAATCAAGAAATATGCGTAATCGAAGAGGATTGTGGAGATTGTTGGTTTCGAGTTTCGAGTTATGTAGTATGGAATTGGGCGCTTAATTTGAAATTCTCATAGCGTCTACAGTACCCCTGAACATGCATTGCAGGGGCTGTAATCGGCGCCTAGTGAACAGTAAAGCGGCAGAAGATTAAGTTCTTGATGTCCTACTTTTCCAAGTCAATTGAAGAGGGGTTAAGGTTATGTTCTGGAATTGGAGCATGTCGTTGTTCTATTTTTCTTGGATGTATCGGGTATGATCGGGTAATGTGTCAACAAGACCCAAACCAAGCAAAATCCTCTCGCTTATCTGATTTGCGCCATCGCAAGACACTTCTTATTATTTCACCCACAGTGTAATTATCATCATTCTTGTGCACTTAATTTCTCTAGAAAATCATTTTGTAAATTCAACTAATATAATCGTTAAAAATTTTTCGCAGCCAAATTGTAACGTCTATCCCTACGTGCCGAGACGCCCCCTGTAACGAGACAAATCGTAGGTACTTCGAGTTCAAGCGACATAAAATCTATGAACGCACTAAAATTTCTATCTATTTTGATTTCAGTTATATTATATACC